CCCGCCTCTGTGGACCCAGAGCCAGGGGGCTGCCAGGGTCCTCCCCTACCCCCACTCAGTCTCCAAGCCCTTGCCCCCCACATCCCGCCCTCCCCTAAGCACCCCATCCCCACCCTTGTCTTGCCACCCCTTTTATGATTCACCAGACCTGCCTGGTCCCATCACCATAAGACTCAGATGTAGGTGCCCAGGGAGGCGGGTCGGCCACAGCTCACCCCTCCCGCCCCCAGGTTCCCACTCCCTGAGGTACCTCTACACTGCGATGTCCCGGCCGGGCCTCGGGGAGCCCCGCTTCATCGCCGTGGGCTACGTGGACAACACGCAGTTCGTGCGGTTCGACAGTGACACGAGTCAACAGGAGGAACCGCGGGCGCTCTGGGCGGAGCAGTTGGGGCCGGAGTAAGGGGACAGAACACCGCGACCTACAGAGCCACCGCACAGGCTTTCCGAGCGGGTCTGGACAACCTGCGCGGCTACTACAACCAGAGCGAGGCAGGTGAGCTCACTCCAGCCAGGTCCAGCTCTCTGGTCCCCAAGGGTGCTGCGAGTTTCCGGTCTCAGCCGAGCCCAGGGTCCCCCGACAGGCCCCAGCAGTAGAAAGCCCCGCAGGGATTGGCAGAGATTTTCTTTCCAGTTTAGGGATGTGATGGGTTTGGCTTTTAATTGGCCACAGGGCTGTCACCTGATGGGCTGGTATGGGGCGGGGCGGAGGCGGTGCTCACGCGGGGCGGGGCCAATCATGGGCGGGGCTCACGCGGGACCCGGACAGCGCTCACACCTTCCAGTGGATGTCTGGCTGTGACATGGGCCCCGACGGGCGCCTCCTCCGCGGGTACAGTCAGTTCGCCTACGACGGCGCCGATTACATCGCCCTGAACGGGGACCTGCGCTCCTGGACCGCGGCAGACACTGCGGCTCAGATCACCTGGCGCAAGTGGGAAGAGGCCAGGGCAGAGGATCACGCGAGGAGCTACCTGCAGGGGGCTTGCGTGGAGGCGCTGCTCAGATACCTGGAGATCGGGAAGGAGACGCTGCAGCGCACAGGTATGAGGGGAGACAGGGTGGTGTTCACATTGCGTCCTGCAGACTGATTTACCCAAGAGCCCACCTTTCTCCCTAGACACTGAAGGATCCAGACTCTGGGGATGATGGCGGGGACCTGTCCCTGAAATAGCTGATCGTGGTTCCCTGGACTCTGGCTGCTGCTCTGGGAGCCCCGGGGACCTTCCTCTCTCAGACCTTGTTCTCTGCCCCTTGTATCTGTGTTACAGGGCACCCCAGTGTGAAGCAGGTTGCCTGTCTGTGGGGCCTCACCCCCACACTTAAAATTCCGTTGTACTGCAGGCACCCACAAAAGGGTTAATAATGGGTTTATTTACAAAGAGGAGAAAGGAAAAGGAACAACCCAGGGAAAGAGAGTGATTCAAGGTAACTAGAATATCTTACTAGCAGACTTTGACCGCTAGTAACAAACAAACTGATAGCTCCCAGTTTCACAGCCTGAGAGAGCCATTGCCTCTCCCCACCAGAGCCCTTGAAAATGGCTCCCTGTTCTCCCCCCAAAGTTCCAGAATGCCTGCTTAGCTCCGCCCTCGGGTCCTGTCAGTTCTCTCCCTGGTCCTGCTGGGAGTTGTAGTTTCCTATCACTGGAGTAGGGGGTGGAGTCCAGAAAGCTGGAGCAGGGGATGGAGTACACAAGACTGCAGAGTTCCTTTAGGACATCCTTCCCCCTAACATCTGGGCCTGAATGCAGCTTTTCTGAGTCATTGCCTATGAGGTCAGGACCACAAATCCCTTTCTTCCCTCAGAGGTCTCCGGCCCTGGACTCTCATCCTAATTGTAAAAATTTCCAAATAAGAGCAAGTACTCCTCAGACCTATGTCCAGGCTGATCTGGGTTTTGTACTCCCATCCCTCACCCAGCTTCCCTGTCCCTTCTTATGAGTGCTACTTCAGTGAGCCAAAATAGGTATAAATTACTGCGTTTCCAACCCTTCTCAGACCCCCCCAAGACACATGTGACCTACCACCCCACCTCTGACCAGAAAGTCACCTTGAGGTGCTGGGCCCTGGGCTTCTACCCTGTGGAGATCTCCATGACCTGGCAGCGAGATGGGAAGAACCAGACCAAGGACACGGAGCTGGTGGACACCAGGCCCGGTGGGGATGGAACCTTCCAGAAGTGGGTGGCTGTGCTGGTGCCTTCTGGAGAGGAGCAGAGATACACGTGCTATGTGCAACATGAGGGGCTGCCGGAGCCCTGAGTCTTGAGATGGGGTGAGGAGGTGATGTGGGCATCGGGCTATTCTCAGAGGGATTGGGGACCCTTCTGGGGACCTTCAGAGGGTCAGAATGAGGCCTGGGGCTCAGGGTCTCCCCTCCCCTTCCCTTCCAGAGCCCCCTCCTCAGCCCTCCATCCCCTCCGGGGGCCTCATTGCTGGCCTGGTTCTCCTTGGAGCTGTGCTCACTGGGGCTGTGGTGGCTGCAGCTGTGATGTGGAGGAAGAAACGCTCAGGTAGGGAAGGGGGTGGGGCGATGAGTAGGGTTTGTCTTGCCTGGTCAGTGGAAGTACTGTCCACACACCTACGCTTGCCCAGTAATACTTACTCCTTAGTAAAGCATAATGGAGGACAAGTTTATCCCTTGTTGGATCTGGTGATGGACCTGCTTCCCAGCAGGCATAGGCAGATGGTCCCACTGAGGACAGATCCAGGAGGGGGTTGGCCCTGTGCCCCTGCATGGACTTTCCTCGTGTTTCCTGATCCTGCCTGGGGCTGTAGTCACAGTTCTGGAAACCTCCTGTTTCCTGGGACCAGGCAGCTCCTTTAGGATCCTGTGACTCAGTCTTGGCCCTGACTCTTCAGGGTGGCTTCTCCTCAGAGGTGGAATAGGAGGGAGCTGTGCTGGGTCTGCTGGTGAATATGTGCTGGGCCTGCTGGACAGGACAATCTCCACCTGTAGGCCCTGGGAATAGTGCAGATGGGAACCCATGTGTGGTCAGGTACCCAGTTCCCTCCTTTCCTCTCCTGGCTCTGACCAGGGTGTTGTCTCCCCCAGGCAGCGACAGTCTCCAGGCTCTGAGATGTGGTCAGCCCCTACAGGTGAGACCCTGGAGACCTGTGGAGTTGGGGTTGGGGTGGATTTGACAGTACGTGGTTTGAGGGCGCATGGAGTGGGACATTCTGAGCATTTGATTGGCTGTTCAGAAGTTCACCACTTATATGAATTTGTTTATGATATTTTTCTTTCACAATGTGAGACAGCTGCCTTGTGGGAACTGCGTGATGGGGCATTTATTATGTCCCACTCTCTGCCTTCCACGACCAGGTGACTTCACTTTGTGCAGAGAGCCTCCTCAGGTGTCTGTGGCCATGAACTTCTGTTCATGCTGAGGCCCCCTCAAGCCCCCTCCACAGCTGTCTCCCCGTGGTGTCCTGCGGGTCACTCCTGGCCTGCACCGTGTCTGGTTCCCATGGCATTCCTTGGGTTCCTGTGGATCATATGGGAGAAAGATGAGCTGATTCCCTGACCATGTGAGGAGAGGGCACTGGCCACTCTCAGGGCAGCTGTGGCCTCTGACTGATCTCACTGGTGGAAGTACCCCAGTCCCTAAGGCTCAGTGAAAAAGTTATGTAATTTATTTGCATAGCAAAATATAAACTGCAACAGGATGGCTCCCAGTGAGGGGTTGGGGGTGGTGACAATGATTGGTGAGGCTGAAGAGGAGACCCAGCCTCAGGCTGAGGGCGCTCAACCCCCTAATCTGCATAGAGAAGGAAATCTCCTGATGCTGTGAGCCAGAGCCTGGCCATGTCCCCTAGGATGGGGAAGGCCTGGGCAGCCTCAGCCAGATAGTAGCCTCAGGGTGGAGCTGAGATCTCAGGGTGAGTGGGCCAGGGAGGGGCGGGAAGGTCAAGTGCAGCCTGAGAGCCTTCAAGACCAAGGTGGTGCTGCCTGTGTGAGCAGGGGATGCTCAGGACAATTGGGCTCAGAGCGTGTCTCCTTAGAGCCCAATGGCCATGTAGTGAGGGGCTGCTGAGCAGGGCTGGGGAGCAGGCTGAGCTCTAGGGGGGTGAGGAGTGTTGGGGCAGGATAGGGGGAGCAGGCAGTGGCCCTGGAGTGCAGGTGCCTGGTTGCAGAGGAGAATGTGGGCACAGGAAAGTACCCCCTCCATGTGAACACCCCCAGTCTCTGGTTCTGGGGCCTTTCTCTCTCTCAGGGACCCTGGCAGAAATGGGGGATTCAGGGCTGGGTTTGGGACATTGGGTTTCTGCTTCTGGATCTCGTCCTTTAGTCTGACCCTTTCAAGCTCTCACCTGGTGGTGGTCCTGGGGCAGGGACAGGTGATGGTGGAGACAGGGGAAACAAGCAGGCTGCGAAGTGGGGTTAAAGGGAGAAAAAGTGGGGTTACCTTTCCTCAGAGACAGGAGAATGTGATTCTGAAGCAAGTGCAGGGTAGCTCCTGAGGACCAAAAGCACAGTCTGCAGCCCACTGAGCATGTCCCGCTGTCTCTCCCCAGGGCCCGGTGTCCAGCACCAAGAGGTGACAACCGACCCTCAGGGCCCTGGTCTGCGGGCCTCAAGGCTCCCGGCCCCTGCAGTCAGCGCCTGAGCCCAGGGACTAACTGAGGGGCTCAGCCGGGCTGGACTTACCTCCCTCGCTCAGCTCAGAGCACTTTCTCCCTTGGCGCCTCCATGTCCTCATCTCTGGGGTCAGATGGCATCATTGTAGGTGACTCTTTCCCTGGTTCCTTCTGTGGAGTCTCCACAGCTCTCCTTGCGCTGTATCTTGGCAGGTCCTGTAGTGTATGTATATATGTGTGTGTATATATCTAGGTATCTATGAATTTGTGCAATATTTTGTGATTTATATTATAAGTATAAAGAAACATATCTGGCCTGTGTGTTATTTCCTAGCTGGGAAGGGGCAGCATGAGGCCATGGGAGACGGATCGTAGACCTGCACTAACCCAGCTCCACTCCCCAGCTCCCAGTGGTGAGTCACACAAAATAATAGGGTTCGGGAAGCTGGGGTGTCTGGGGATTGTGACAGGGACTGAACCTGGGGGGGCTCTGTGCTGACAGTGGGGGTCATGTGGTATAGCAGAGCCGACACTGAGAGGAGTGGGGACAGTGCATTGGGGTGACCTCATTACAGGGTAATCCCCAGGGTTCCCTCTCACATGGAAGTGGGGCGGAGTGAGCAGGGAGGGGAAGCAGAGAAGGCTGGGGGGAGGAGGAAGGGGCACGTGTGGAGGACTTGGGGGGCACAAGGAGCAGAGACCAGTAAGGAAACTGCACTTGCTTCTGAGCCTTGGACTTGTACCAGGATTGGGGGAACTGAAGGAGAAACCTGGGGCAAGAACATAGGTGAGAGACCGTGGGGAGGCTGAGGATGGCAGCTTTCATCTTGATTTTGGTTTTAATATTTTCATCTGTCCTTGACGACTTGCTGGCCCCATCCACCCCTTTCCCCTGTTTCCACACCAGAAGGTGCCTTAGACTTGGGGCAAGATTTTGGGCCTCAGCCGTCCTGTTGTGTCTGGGCGTTTACCCTCCAGGGGACTTGTGTGTCTGGGCGTTTACCCTCCAGGGGACTTGTAATTTTGGGTTTTTTGATTTGGAAATTTCTTCCCTTGTCTCCGTTGCACACTAATTGTTCAAAGCTCCTCTCCATGGAAGGTCATGGTATGTTTTATACTGATAAGGCAGAGGCATTCGCAGACAGGCTTGGGGGTTTCTGGGGTGCTCCTCCCCCTGCCCTGAACAGCCTTACCATGGACCAGGCTGTGTGGGGTGAGGTGGCCTCTGGGCCTGTGCATGTCCGAGCTGAGGAGAGAATAAGTGAGCACAGACATGGGGAACACCCACAGTCCCGGCATCTCTGCCTCAGTCAGTGAGATTTCTGCAGACAGATGGGGTGGGGAGGGGTCCCCCCTGAGCCTCAGAGCTTCCTCACTCGGGGGCACACAGACACTTGGCACTCATCCTGGTCAGGAATGACCTACCCCACCCAGGGTAGACATCCCTGACAGGGACACTGGGCGGGGTCACCAGCCACACACCTAGCCCTGGGGGGAGCTCTGTGGGCAGCAGGACCTGCCTGGAAGGAAAAGGAGCAGGAGGGTCCTGTTCCCCTCAGCCAAGTTCCAGGTGAACAGTAGGGAAGCCGGAGTAGAGAATTCATTTATAAAAATCTTTTATATTTATTTATAAATAAATTCACTTATAAAAAACTTTTCGGCTTTTTGCTAGTTGTCTTATACCGAGTTGTGATTCAGGGGTGACGTCCTTCACACCACTGTGCCGTCACAGTGCATTTTGGCCAACTGTCAAGTGTCATCTGTATACTTAAGTGTCCTTAAGTGTAAACTTCATCAACATCCAACTTTTTACTTCTGTTTGAATCATCCACATCTGGTTGTAATTGATACGTAAATATTTCAGTAGGATTTCTCTTCAAGTTGACACCATTGCAGTCCTCTATCTCTTCTCAGTGTTTGCCATCTCCAGGTAACTACTATCAATATTTTTAGATGATTCTTTTTTAATATTCACAGTTCTTGTCTTAAAAAAAAAAAAAAATTGGGCCCTCCCTGGTGGTGCCGCAGGTTAAAGCATGGCACTAAGAATCGAAAGCCACTTCTGCATGAGTTCGATCCCCGCCTGCCCCGGAGGTGACCACATGGCGTGGCAGACCTCTCCTGACTGGCCCGTTGCTCTCCTCAGCAGTGTACTTCCACGATCTGCCTGTTTTGCTCCCCGCTCTGTCTCTGGTGAAGCCTCTCGCAGCCCCTGCGCCTCTGGCCTGTACCCCAGTTTTGGATGCACAAATAAATAACTCTTAAAAAAAATCATTTATTTATTTATTTATTTATACATAAAAGTACTGGGGTACTGGCCAGAGATATAGGGGTGAAAGGATTCACCAGAGACAGAGTAGGGAGCAGAACAGGCAGATGGACTGAAACACACTGCTGAGGGGAGCATTGGGTGACACAGGAGAGGTCTGCTGGCCTTGTGGGTCAGCTCCCTGGCTGGGCATCATCTCGGACCATAGTGGTTTCAGCTTGGAGAATTAACCCCCAGGCCAGAGGGGGTCCCAAATCTTCATTTCTTTTGAGTGACACCAGGAATATGAATGCTCTTCCTGAAGTTGTTTTTAAATAACTTTATGAAAAGACACAAAACTCTCCCAGAGTGTGTGCTTTTTCAAGCCCCAAAGAATGGAAGAGACTTAGCTTGTTCCACATCCTCGCTAGCCTTGATCATTAGTAATCGTTTAACTTTTTGCCACTCTAATGGTCACGGAGCTTCTCACTGGGGGTCTCCCTTGCATCACCCCCTCACTTGGGACTACTGATGTGGAGAATATTTCATGTACATAGTGATATTAACTATATCTTCCTTGTCAATGCCTTTTCAACCTTTTTGTACTTTTGTTTGTTACTAGTGTTTCTATATTTGCTTGTTTTTTCTATCTTTGTTGTTTGTGTTCTTATGATGAAGTCATGGGAGTTGTGTCTGGATGGAAATCCTGTGTCTGATCAATGTATCACAGACATCTGATGAGGAGCTGTGGGCCTGTCCCGGTCACGGTCACTCACAGGCTCTGTCTTTTCCCCATGACGGGCACGGCTTTATCGTCTCTCTCTACCTCTCCGCAGCCTCCCACAGGCCAACTGCCCTCTCCTGTTACTCATCTGGCTCAGCCCCTGGATTCCTTCAGCAGCTTCAGTAGAAGCAGATCTACTGCACCAGAGGGCTTGTGGGCGACGCCCAGGTGTGCTGCTGGGACCATCTGAGCGTGTTTGCGACATGTGGGGACAGAGCACCCCAGAGCAGCTCAGTCCCGTCTGAGGGGTGTGTTCAGCCAACACGGCACAGGTGGGGTGCTGGAAGGGTCCAGACTTCGGGGACCGCCCTGTACACTTTCCTCAGGGAGAATCAGTATTGCAAAAATGATCTATTTTCTTTGTACTGAAGTTATATTTTAATATGTTTGTATGTAATACTTTCCTATAAAAACTAGGTATGTCCTTCAATTTAAAATCAAAAGAATTTAAAAGTAAGTCACTCAGTCATTGAAAAAGTACAGATTTGTAAAATGCCTATATCCTGTCATGAAAATGCAACATGATGCACTTGGAGAAAAACGCTACCAGGACCCCTCACCCACGCCTGTGTGCAGTAGCCCGGCGCAGGCACAGGGGCAGCTCGTCCTCAGCCCTCCCTGCTACAGCTGTGGTCCAGATCCAGGTAAATATGAGATGAATCCTTTTTTATTTTTCAAAAATTTTCTTGGAGATTTATTTAGTGATGCATACAGAACTGGGTGTGGGGAAGTGAGGATTTTCACCAGAGACAGGGAGGGGAGCAGAACAGGCAGATCTACTGAAACACACTGCTGAGGGGAGCAGCGGGCGGGACAGGACAGGTCTTCTGGGCCCGTGGGTCAGCTCCCTGGCCGGGATCAAAGTGCTGTGGTGGAGGCTCAGCCACTTCCTCGGGCTGTGCTGTAACCCATGTGCCCCCAGGGAGGCCATGTGTCCTTGTGTATACAAATATTCATTGGTTTTCATTGTGAACACTGCCCCGTGAAGGATGGGCTGCCATTTATCTCTTCCCCTTCAGTGACCTGGGGGTTGTTTCTGTCATCCACATGGGTGCAGTGAAATACTGGCTGGTGCGTGTGTGTGCCTCGTCAGGGTGCGCTTATGGGAGTGACACATTGTGCACATCTTAGCCAGTGATGCTACCTGAGGCAAAGGAGGTGATAATTCCCCCCTCTCTGGCCCCTTTAAAGCTCCTGTGACAGTCGACTGTTTGGTATTTTCCTTACCTGATCCTTGTTTATTTTATGTTTTTTTAAGATTTACCTATTCATTGCATACAAGAACTGGGTTATAGGCCAGAGCGCAGGGCTGGGAGGGTTCTGGAGAGACAGAGCGGGAGGTGACAGGAGGAATAGTCCTCTGCCCCCTGTGCCCTGCAGGTGTCCTTCCCACCGCTCTCTCCCCTGTGGGGCAGCAGCCTCCTGCCTGCCGTTGACATGCACCTGCGGGGACCTCTGCACTGACCTCCCTCAGCGGAGGCCGCTCTCCTAAGGCTTCCTGCTTGCAACCTTGCAGGCCTCTCAGAGCAAACCTGTCCCTTCGGGGCATCTCTCCCGGCCTGCTTGTGCCCAGGCAAGTGGCCTTTACTCCTCTCTCTATTTCCCTAATAAACCTGCTTGTTAAGTATAACCACCATCTCTGGTGGAAGAACTCGCCTGGGAGCTTGCCCTGTGCCACTGAGCAGGGAGCTCATACCCAGAGTGAACCCCAATCTCCAAAGCCACCACCTCTGAAAATTTGACACCAGTGAAGCAGACCAGAGGGGGTTGGACGCAGGTGGGGTGAGGGGAATATTTGTACACCAGGAAACTGCTGAGGCCCGGTGGGGTACAGGAGGCACTCCTCGATCTCGGGAGCACCCCAGATCCAAGTCCTAGACATGGACCTCCCCCATTCTCTCAGAACCAGTGGGATTTGCTTCCTCTCTTAAAGCAATCACCTCAATATACCTGAAGATGGTTAAGTTGTTAGGGTTGGAGCAGGCCATCCCGTAGAAACTTGGCTGAGCAGTGGTGTTGGAAAAGTTTGGTTGTCGGGGGACCTGGAGGCGCCACGTGGATCAGACATGTGTGAAGAAGTGGCTCCAGTTTCTTGGCCCTGGACTGGGTGACACAGATGTGCGTGAGAGACCCGTGGGGAGGTGCCTGTGACAGCATTTATCTTGATGTTGACTCTGCTCTTTTCCTCCCATACTTGTCTGGCCATTTCTAGCCCATTTCTATAGGTCCTGGCCCAAAGGTGGGGGCTTGTGCAGCTTCCAGGCCTTGCTGTGGGCCAGACCC